TCCTTTCTCACTGGGACCCATTTGCAGTTTCACAACGGTAAAAGTTCTGAAGAAAATTTTTCACAAATTGGTGCCAGACAGGCGCTAAATAAACGAAACTTTCCTCGGTCTATTGGATTTTGATATCGAACTAGTTCCTCTCCCTAGTCGTGCATTTTTCTATATCATATTTATATCTTTTCGAGTGTATATTCATTAGACAAATACTTCATTACTTAAATTCGTTGATTATGAAATACAAATAGAGATTCAATGAATTCATTCTATGAACAAATATCATAGAATTACATCCATTCACTTCCGTAAATTATTCACTCTATTAAACTTTCATCATTGCTTGAACAAAGGGTTATGAGCCACGTAATCTTTCCTATAAATCTCCAAAGAATACTCAGATTTCTCACTGGTAATAATTATCGAGTGATAGTGATTAGTGAGATTCACGCCTGATTGTCTTATTAATCAAAATGAATCTCGACGTCATTAAACAATGGACAATAAACCCATTGCCACTGAACTGATAAATAACATTACTCGTCTGTAAATAGTAAATATACAGATACAAGATTAGCAACGCCCTCTTCTTTCTACCAGAAAATATAATCCCACCCCTCAGGTCGACTTGACTAAGGCGCGCATATTTAAGGGCTCCCATATAATGTTAGCTTAACTCCAAATTATGTGACCACAGAAAATATGAAAATTATAATTCGTAGGCATTAAACTAACCCTAACCCATGTGAAAAATACCAAATGCTAGACAGGACATGCACAAGTATTAGCACGTGATTTAATTCATAGGTTGTTTTAGCAACAATTGTAGTAGGCACCAAAAATACAAGAACACCAACCCCTTCGGGGTGGTCGAGTTGGTAGAGCAAGTGAACGCGGAGATCGAAGATCATGAGTTTGAATTCTCTGCCAACACTTCATCGGTCGAGCCCGTCGCACCGGACTTGCTTGGTGCGGTTTACCCTTCCTATGTGATTTATGGGCTACTCTGCACATAGAGCGGTGTTTACCTAATGCACACTCACAGTGGTCAGAACTCAGCGGCGAGTAGCGACTGCAGATTCCTACGTCAAAAAAAAAAAAAAATACAAGAACACCAACCAAATAAAAATATGTAATCTAAATCTGAATCCCCCATAACAAAGGTTCTCTTTGAATTGAGGAAAAATGTCACTGAATATTCAAAATAAGTTTGGGGTTACAGAATTCTTTAATAAACCATGGAAATGGCAAAAAAGGTGTTCAAACGTTTAATTAGAATCCTTTCAATAAAATAATTTTGCACGTTTTTTCACTCTTTCAATCTTTACAAAATCCATTCTAAAAAAATTGGGCTCAAACAAGGCAAAATCTTGTTTAATATTCTCCAAGTACTTGAGGACGGGTTACCTGCATTGACAAAATTTACACCACTGAATTAGATTATGGAAGTCTCTTTCGAACAATATCTCTCCTGCAAACTTTCGAAACAACAGACAAAACAGATTTCGCTAGATAAATATTATAGAGTCTTGGTCTGGCTTTGGTTGTAAGAAAAAATATAAAGATATTTTTGGTGTGCACTATTTGCTCCCTCTCAGAATTGGCCACATTTTTGTGTGCCTTCTAAAAAACTTGTTAGATAACTTAATAATATTATATAACTCCAATAATATCGAACATCGGTATAAGTATCAGCATATTATATGTTATGTTCAATATGTTATAAATACTTGTGTTTAATTGTACATATAATTTAATGTCACTAGTACTGTCATTGGACTAATGTAAAACACTATAGATACTGAATAACATCATTATGATGAATTACAATTTGATTATTATACAATTTATTTTTGGCACTATGCAAATTCATATTTTTCTAAACTAGAAAAAATTAAGCGTGTCATTGTACTATTACTTCATTTGTAACCTTTGGGTTACGTTGATTTCTTAAAACCACACAAACTTTAAGAAAATAGTTTTAATCATGTAATGTCTAATATCGAAGATCGAAACCCTTATATCTGAAAAAGCTTTCATTGTCTCTAACACAAAATTTGAATGTTGATTTATTTTGAATGCTCAATGAGATCTTAGATGATGATTTTGAGGTTTCTTAATGACAAATATTTTTTAAATAAAACATGTTTTATTAATGGCAAGTAGAACATGACTAGATATATAAATTTCAAATATAAGAATTTTTAGGGGTACTATCTAAACTAGTTAAATAAGTAAAATATAATATTTATGAAATTCTTGCCCTTTGGAAGTAAATAATTAAATAGCTAATGGGTGGTTGTCATAATTAATAAAAAAAGTATTTTTATTCATTTGTTTGTAGTTCAACTGGTATACTTTTCTTCTCCGATTATTATAAAGTCCTTCTAAAATTACATTTATAAATAACGAAATGCTAGAGGTCGAAATGCTTATTCACAAATCAGATATTTTATATTTAAATATTAAATATACAAATTCCTCCCAAACCCAAACATCTCACTCTATCTCTAAATTACACTCTCAGACACACTCTTTCTAATATCTCTCGCTTCCCCTCTGGCTACAACACCACATGCCCCTTCATCGATGCCACCTATGTTGGAGAAACCATCATCACCATCCGACGCAGTCACTGTCGCGCATCAGTGACTATAGCGCTCATCGTAGCTGCGAATAGTATCGATGCCCAGTGACAGACCCGAGATTTTGTATCAGCACGGGCGGCCGTGGATCGTCGACCGTTGTCAGCAATAAAATATTAAGAGCCCCATTTGATACCCATTTTTTTGCAAAAAAGTGCATTTTGGAATAGTTATTTGATAGAGAATATGTGGTTAAAAATAAGGAAAAATTTTGAATTTGAATGTAATATTATTTTATTGAAAAATGTGCGGTTGAAAGAAGAAAGAAAAATATATTTTGAAAAAAAAAATAAGGAATCAAACGAGGTCTAAAATTTAAATATAACAACTATTTTGTTCAAACTGAACATAT